TATCTAACCTAACGGGGCCTTATGTGGTTCGCCACTCCATGTCCCGAGGATTAGGTTGCCGATTTCCATCATTGAGCCTCAGGTCCTCGTGACTATGGGGATCAACCCGTCTGTTGTTCATCACACTAAGATGTGTAATAAAAAAATCAGGAAGCTGTAGGTGGATATAGTTCGTATGCATCTTCTTGGTTAATTTGGAGTCAGGGTCTTATACAGCTCCCTTTAAGTGAACTGCCAGTGGTTCACTGACTCGATTATAGCTTTTCATCCTCTCACTTTGATAGGGAAGCACCTTCGCCACCGGAACGCATATATTAGGGCTTCTTCATCATATTTTGTTCGAGACTCTTTATTCGTATAGGTGCAACTCGGGAGGCAAAAGGGTATGGTAACCAGCCGCACCCACCCTCGATCATACCGAGGCTTTCGAAGGCCCTTCAGACTAGTAACAGCCCTTACGACGTGGTTGATGATCAGACCCGGGACTTCAGGCGAGACAGGAACATATTACACGTTTGACCACCTGATCGCTACTCAAACTGCCTCGCTTTGTCAGCCTGTTTTATAGGTTTGTTTCAGACTTCTTATCCCGTTCATCTGAGTACCAGTCTCCAGGATTATAACTCGACTGGAAACTTTTCAAACCTGACTACTTGTTGCAAGACCGTTTTCTACAGACAAACTCTGAGTTTCTTTTTACCACAGTTCCGTCCTCACTTTCAGGTAATGGACGTGAGAATCGGCTACCGAAAAATCGACGGATTCCTCGTTGTCTGTCTACATGCCACATCCACACTTTCAGTGTTCGCATATAAATCCAAATGGTGGCAAGTAATCGGTAGGTGATCTTCCCACTCAACTGTCCAATGGTGTTTATCCCTAGTGCGTCAACCGGAATTGGACACCTTGGCTGGTCGAATCAAATCGACCGCAGATCAATACGTGAACAAGTTATTCGACGCATTGGCTAATCAGGAAGAGGAAAAAGTGTTCTCGGTGCGGGACGAAACGTCCGGATCGATAAAGCTCACGTGGTCTAAGGAAGCTAAAAAGGGAATGCAGGTCAGTTAACAGTAACGTATATTTGGTGTTGGTCATCAGTTATCTTCTATCTGGTTTTCTCATTTTTTATTTTATCTTTATACCATGTGTAATTTGTTAATTACTGAATATATTGCAGCCCATCTTGAAGAGGCTAAATTTTCTTCAATCTCTGCTTACGTTCAAAACTCAGCGAGCTATCCCTGATTAATTTTTAATCATCTGTCATAATAGTGCTCAAAAGTTCCTCGGATGATTGCTTATCTTCTCTTTGCTTAGAAAAGAGTAAACAGAGTTACTGATAATTCAGATGTAGATTGTTGTTGTTGTTTCCTGCTTCAGTTTCACTATCCGGATATGGCTGATCCTACCACGCGTAAGTTCTGATGGTAGGATGAGCCATATTCGGTTTGCTTATCTTCATTGAACCCAAAAATAAGCAATCTCTTTTTATCCTTCTCAGTGCCAATCTTCTGCCTTTACGGTATCTTGCATCCCGTCAGTCCCAATCACAGGGTAAAGGTTATCTGTTATTCTCTACTGGTGATAGTTAATTTTGAGATGCCCTCTTCTCTTATGACCTATCCCATCATAACTAGTGGTAAGTGAGCGGGATTTCTCAACGGTTATTCTAGTTGTCACCCGGCTTTCTACCATACCTATCCTTCTTGAATCGCAAAACCGTATATCCTCTTGTCAGAGTTATGCATATAAGGATCACAAAAATACCAATCTTCCTCTCTATCTTGATTAACTTTTCGTTTCCCTGCCACAACCAGATATTTTCCGCCGCTTAACATCCCTTTCACGTCATCATCATGATCATCATCGTACAGTGAAGTGCAGTGAAGCGAACTTCACTTACTGCTGTCAAGCTCGCAATGCATACGAAGTTGGTGGTAATATGTAAAGTGGACGGGATTGAACCTATTCCGAAGGCGGAGTAGGAAAGCGAACCTCTATAATCACCATACAGAGTACACAATATAACTGTGCATACGTACATTTTCAAGCATTCTGGCCTGATAAGAACTGACAGCCAGAGCGCCACTGCTATTCGTTCGCTGCCATATCCTTCAATGTCTCCAACCAACCAGTGGCTGTCTCTCGGACCCCAACCTGAAATCTATGTTGACCTCTATGTTAACTTTTTTATTATCGTTATATAAACTGTGTTTCTACTTCCTTTTTTATTTGTTGAATATACAACTATATAACCAACTTTCAGGAAGTGGGCTGCGGCCATACAAAGGCTGCCTGGGAAAATATAGAAACGGTGAAGATGGGCAGCGGTGGAGCGGTTCGAACCCGGTACTTCCTAGTCAACATTTTGGCGACCTTAACCACTTGACCCCCACCACCCATATGACATGTTTATCGTTTTCATCCTAATATAACGGTGTTAATGCATTTTCGACTGCACTATAAGAGTAGATGCCTGTATAAATTATTGCAATACAACATAATTGTTTCAACATTGAGAGTCCATGACCTTGCGCTTCTAGTTTCCATATCTTCACTACAGGTTTTCTTAAATATTAACTTCAAATGTCTGTTACGCAGTTAACTCAAGTATATAACAAAACAGCTGAGTTAAATCAGTGGATAGTAGTACCAAGGAATTTTTATCTTGTTCTACCACAAGAAATGGTACTGCTTCTCTGACTAGTCTAAACTTCTTCCCATGTTTCTCCCTTTTCTCTCCATGCAGATCAATTTCGGGAGCTTTGCTCTCGACCCGGTCAATACCACGGAGGGAAAGGGATCGAAAGAATTAGATCAACTTTTAAGCCAAATTCTTGGCCAATGGGGTGCATTTCAGTCACGTTGTCAAGAGTTAGAACTAGATAACAAAAGACTGCATGAACTTGGCTCGGAAGCTGTCGAGGTAAGCCAAATTTCGTTGAATTCTCTCACTCGCCACGTGTGGGTTGAATGGGGTTCAGAGGTATGAAAAACTGGTTTCTGAGATGCAAAAACGGGAGTTTGCTATTCTGAACAACTGCGCTCAACTGTTGAATGAAAAGAAGCGAAAAATCAACTCGTTGATGACAAGGTTTGTATCAGTGATCCCAGTTAACTAATTCTCTTTCTATCCGTCCACTTTCTGCATCCAGTTGTGAAAAGATTGATATGAACGGAAAGCGCGTATCTCGGGAAACTGTGGTGACCAACGTCAGCGGAGAATCAGCTTCTTCCTCGCACAGTGATACTGAGAAATCTGTGGCATTGGATGATGATGATAATGACAGTGGAAAAGAAGAAGCATACGAGGGAAATGTAGATGAAGACGAAGAGGATGATCTACTTCCCAAAGTCCGAAGAACACAAAAGTTGTTCTCTGCAAGAAAATCGCGTGGGTCTTCAGTCACTTCCAGGTAAAATGGTTGTTTGAATGTGTGTTTATACACGTGTGTTTGCTTGAGAATACTCACCCGTTTCGCTACTTAGACCTAAGTGCATGTTAACCTCGTCATAGCTTCACCGTGACCCGGCTCACTAAAACACCGATGTCATACTTTGAATTGAGGTGGGGATTAAGTGATTCTTCAGTTCTACCAAAAAATAGAACATCTTCGAGGCCTGGTTTTCGTTCCTTTAACTGTCTCTCACAGTGATTTGCTTGGCAGTGAATTTGGCTTCAGGTGAAAGTAATAGACGTTTAAGGGTTAACTCGGAGCCAAATTCATATCACAGCAGCACAGATTATTAACGGAGTTAGATATGATGATTTTTTGTCGGTATAATTGGCTGATTCGGAAACTTCTAACCACAGCCAGGGAGCGAAGGCAGCATATATAACATTCAATCGCACTTGGGATGTCGTAGTCTTATATATAAGGGAGAAATCGCATAACCAAAGCTTCCTTCCCAAAATTGGTGAACTCGACACCTAATAGGTTGTTTAACGCAATAAAGAACCGAGAAGGATGAAGTGATTATTGACATTCTGCGCGATATTTGATGTGGCTGGTTTGTAAATAAACACTCTGGAGACTACGTGTTGCTATCACACTAGTGATTTCTCTGCTACCAACTGGATGACTTTTCTTCATGAAATGCCCACCTTTCTCGACTGTTTGCGAGGAATACCTCAATTGTATGTCAATAAGTAGCTCACGGAAGGCTGATGATAACAAATATCCTGAAATTTTACGATTATCTATTTTTGCCTTGGAGAAATGAAAAGATTGTCGACCGCAACCTTTCTGACGTGATTTGAATAGATCAGCACATGCAACGCACTCAAGCAACATTTGGAGTCACTCCGACCAGTCCGTTCGTGCACAAAACCTAACCACCATACACCGATACGTTGCAGTTTGGCATTCATTAGTAACAAACATTGAAATTGTTAAACTTCCGATAAGGGATGAGACTGGATCAAGTTTTTCTAATGGCATAGTTTAACGAAAGAAATCTGATCCCTGTCTTCTTTATCAGTATTCCAAATCCGGAGTCTTGTGTGACCGGATCACTTGAAGGCGATGTACAGTACGGACATATTCCAGATAGAGAGTGCATATTCTAAAGCATGCACGCTTGTTTGTTAGGTGGGTTGCTCATTCTTCGACGGATCGTTTCAAAGAAAGCATAAAGCTTAATAGGGACGACGAGCTGTCTTTAACACAGCTCAAACAGGTGTTTTATGCCAATATGTAGACCTATAATCCGATGACCGTTTTTACTTTAAAAGAGTTGCTCGCTTTTGCGAGCGCAGAATCTGATGTGAAATCAATGGGAACCAGAACGGTATACTTGGGGAAGATGATAGTGATAAATTCAAGGCTTTCAGTGTAGAATTAGACGCCGGATGTGGTGTTCTAATAGTGGAATTTGATCGCATTGATAATCTTCATCGTCTGACCGTGGACTCACGGCACTTCTTTCAGCTCTAAAAGGCTTTGGAATCGCCATGCAGCCGTTTCGGCCATGGTGGAAATTGTTTAATGCATAAGAAAGCGTCCAGCGAGTATGGAACACATCACTGACTTGAAAGTTTCCCAATTGAATCTCGGATGTTGCATTTCCTACTACTCGTTTGCACTTGTTTGAACAGAATCACACTTGATTATATTTGTTTTTTTTTCATGAGTAACATTTGTCTTTTTCGCTGCTAATTCCAGTGCATCAGTCTCTAAATAGTAGCCAAGTGGTGGAAATGATCTGTGAATAACCCAGGAAAGTTTGTCTAGCCTACAAACGGACAGCAGTACACTTTTCAAAGGGAATCAATCCAGTGTCAGTCATTGGACTTTGTGCAAAGTAATTGCTATTTTCAACATACTTCGTGCGTTAACTGCGTTTATTTATGCTTTGTTTTCTTTTCGTTGTCGTTTCCTCATCGCGCTCCATTCGGACTTCTTTCATATCTGTGATATGCTTCACGGACCTTGTTACTTTTTCATTTTGGCTGTGTTTACTTTTTCTTCTTTTAATTGACACTGTCATTTTGACTTCATTCGTGTACTTCACTCGTCTGTGCGTACATGTATCACTCATAGTAACAACCCCTCGCATTCTGTCATCATTACCTCACTATTTTCTGCAAATCCTCATTTTACGTTATGCTAATATGCCTGTTGATCACCGCCCAGTGTTAAATAGGCAATTTCGCATAACTTCCTTCGAAGTAAATGTTAAAAACGAAGTGAATTAGTTAAAGTGTTTTAGTTTAATTCATAGATACCTATTATTTTGAAGCTGCCACTCAATGTGATGTAAACCGTAAACAGTTATAAATGGGAAAAAGTGGTGCAGCTTGGGAGAAAATGTTATAGAAAGCGCGACTGAGTTTTAGTTCCTTTTCCAGCTGAATTGATAACAGTGTTGACACTTTCAGTCATGGAGAAATCTATTCAAAGGGCTGTCATTTGATACAGAGAAAGAGGGGACGTCGAGCAGATTTGATATGGTTTAAAAACGCGACTATATGGCAGTGGACTGAGTCTCGTTTAGGACATACACACTGCGGTCGACCAATGGGTAGCAGCTAGGATTACTTTGAACCGTGCCATTTACTCTGTTTTAGGTTCACTTTATTTCGAACTCCCACTGGTACAGTGGACGAATCACTCGGAACTTGAATAATTCATTTGATCAACTGGATACTAGAAATAGTGGTTGTATCCCTTGATCTATTTGAGAAACCTGGTGGTGATTTTAGGGCATAAAAGCCGCCTTAGACCCGTCTTTTCACGTTATAAGGTCCCATTTTCAAGGAGCTACCACTTTCCGTACCTACTATATGCATTGTATGGTGGAAGTTCTTGAAGTGTACAGAAAGGGTAATTTTAATTCGAATCCGCGCAGAGGGACTTCAGCAGCACTAAAGAGCAACTAGAATTAGAAGACAGTGAACACGGGAACGAATTGCATTGCTCATCGGCATCATACACGTATGGAATCGAGCATACAATGAAAAAATAATTTCCCTTATGCATCATCATCACACCCAACTCAGCTCGGGGTTGTTGTAACCGATACGTAGTTTCTTGCGCAATTTTTCGAACATTTGAGTGTTCGGTTGTATTTTCTGGAATCTTACGTAAGTGATTCTCTTCTGTAATGGACTCGAAAGTAGAAAAATTAGAACAATAGGCTATTTGGTCAGAAGTAGGGCTGTTACGCAAACAGTTTGATTTATATATATACGGCGGAGGGGTCTATTGTCCAAGTCAAGAGTTCATCTTCGTGCTGAGAAGGCAGGGGGGCCGCGCCCCGTATGAGCCTCTTCACCGCCGGTACCAATAACAACTCGCCATCGTGCTCATCGAGACGGCGTTTGAAACGCGCCTCGTTCTGCTCTTCCACCACCTCTGACGGGAGTGAATTCCAGAGGGAAGTCACCCTCCGGGAAAGGCGATAGACCAGAGGAAGCCCCCTTGACTCAAGCTTCCGGAGGGTGANCGCGCGTCCGGTTGCCATCCCGCAGTGGAAACAAAGCACGTAACTCCGGTCCCAGATGACCACGAAGAATCTTCCACAGGTAGATCAAATGCCCGCGGAGTCTCCTGTAGCTAACGGGGTAGAGTTCGAGTGCCTGAAGTCGACCTTCATAGCTGATCCCGTGAAGTCCAGCGACTAGGCGGGTGGCGTGGCGCTGTACCCGTTCCAAGTTGGCCATTTCGGAAAGCGTGCAGGGGTATACAGCGGGTCCACCATATTCAAGCCGGGGGCGAACATCGGAGGCAAACAGCTTCTTGAAGGCTGTGAACGACAAGCCGTCAAACGACCTACGGATGACATCTAGCACACTCCTTGCCGTGGAACATGCTCGGGTGGTGTTCATTTGTGTCTTCATCGATGCGGAGATCATCACTCCCAGATCCCTCTTGGTAGTCGTTGAAGGCAGTGGGACGTTGTTTATCAGGTAAGGAGTATCCGGTGTATTCCGTCCCAGGTGCATATGGGCACATTTCGACGAGTCCACTGGAAGTTCCCAGACGACATCCCAGTGATGCAACCTGTCCAATTCCTCTTGGAGGGCATGGTGGTCCTCTGGTGTTCTCATGGTTCTCCACAGTTTCACGTCATCCGCGTAGAGGAGGCAAGATGAGCTCAACTGGGAGGGTAGGTCATTCACGAACAGGAGGAACAGTACAGGTCCTAGAACAGAACTCTGTGGCACTCCACTGGTGACAGGATAGCGACAAGACTCCGTCTGGGCAACTCTAACTCCGACGAGGAAATCTTCAATCCATGCCAGTAGAGGGTCCGTGACCCCGTGAGCAATCAGCTTCTCCAACAACCGTCCACGTGGCACCTTATCGAATGCTTTGCTGAAGTCGATGAAGATGACGTCCGTGTCGTGGCCGGCGGCCTTGGCAGACACCATTGCTCCCGAGACACAAGATCGCTGCGGACGGAACCCGTGCTGCTCTGGACATAGAAGATCGTGTGGTAGGAGGTGTTCCCGGAGTCGCTTGACGAGTACACGTTCCATCACCTTGACGGCCACACAGGTGAGACTGACCGGGCGGTAGTTGGCGGGGTCCCCACGGGCTCCTTCTTTGAAGAGAGGGCATACAATCGCGGTTTTCCACTCGGTTGGCAACCTCCCCTCGGTCAATGATGGTTCGAACAAGACGGCCAAGGTAGGTGCAGTGACCGGCTCCAGCTCCTTGAGCACGCTGGGATGCAGTCCATCCGGACCCGGTGACTGGTACGTTTTTTGAGCCGAAAGTGCATCACACACCTCATCTACCGAGATGACTTGCCAAGACAGCAGAGGCGCGGAGCACGATAGTGGGGGGTCGGGGATGTATCGGTGGCATAGACAGATGCATATTGTTGCGCCTCCTCTGGACTCAAAAATCCCGGATTAAGAGATCTTGTTCACCACTTGCTCGGCGCTCATGGATCTCGGCTAATGCCTGCTT